TTCGTTCTCTTGAGTTTTATTTTGATGAATGGATTCTTCACGTCTTATCTGTGCTGGTTATCAGTACAGTCCAAACCTGACTGCTGATTCTGTAGGCTAGAAAACACCACCGCAGCGGTGATACGAAACTTGAGAATTTATCAGCGAGTCAACATGTTTCCTTTTCTGTTAGATACTTGGCATTGTTGTCAACTCTTGTCATTTAAGCACTCGTTCATTTATTTGCCTCTACTTTAAAATTCTTACTCAGCATATTGTTGTGAAAGTCTCACATGATATTACGGAATTATTCAGCACCAATATTAATTACCAACAACTTCGCAATACATCTGGTTAAGCTTATCAATAAATCCTAGATGTAAACACATGAAGAAGATATGAACGCATCGTTTGAATGTGATGTACATGCCCCGGTATGAAAACTCTACCTGCTGACTTTAATGTTCCACATACTTGTCACGTATAACTCACAGTGGAATCTGTTATCTCTAATGCAGTGTGAATTTGAAAGTACAAAAAGGATTTGGGAGTTGTCGGACGGCGTGAAGTCGTTGCCTTTTGTTCCTTTTTTTTACCAAAACGCCGCCATTTTCCCTTGGGCCTCTCCGGTGCGCCGCAAAAACCGCAGAAAACAATCTAACCAGAATATTAGCGACAGGAACTTGGAACGTTACCAAACATCACAGAACCGTGGCGTGATACGGTCGTCGTGTTCTCATTGGCTAACAGCAGAAGTAAGTCATGTTTACCGACCAATCGTGAGGCTGCAATTCTTTTCCAGCCGTCTGATTGGCTGACGGCAAACATCAATCATATTTATTCGTCAAGCCGACTCCCGGTAAATGAGATGGTGGATGACGACATCCCAAGCGCCTGAAATGCTTTCTCAAATAAAGTCGGTCCTGATTTCCATAGAAGATCGATATGTTTTTGACAGCGTAACCCTCTACCGGGGATACGGCGGGCTTATAGAAGGGGCCCTTTCGTCTGTTGTAACCATACACATTCTAGTTACTGTTACATCAATGTAGCAATTCTGAAACATCACAAGAACACGTTACATTGTACGTTCATGATGGTTAGCCATCCGAGATTGAATAGTAGTATTTTTTAAAAAGCTGTACCACTGAAAAAATGCAAATTTACAAGGATTTTAGATGCCGTCCGGTATATTTTTAATGTACATCCGGACATTTGTACAAAGACAATGTGGCGTTGCACTCAAGTTTACAAAAGCAATATTTTAGAAAAAAAAACACAGCAAAATGACATTAACAAAAGTTATATGATAAACAACACAGTACAACCCCTTTACCCAGAAGTGTTATTAACTATTGAGCTATTAATTTTATGAACTATTGAGCTATGTATTTATGATATATATATGTATTAGTACAGAATGCAGTGTGAAGTAGATCCTTTTAATTGATCTAAGGTAAGTGTTAAAAAAATAGGATCACTGAAGATGGATGCTGGGCTGCATTTAAAATGTCTGTTAACATTTGAGTGGTATAATTTGAATTGTATCACCATACGTTTTATTGTAAGTCGGTACAGCCATATAAAATCATGGTCGTGATTATGCATACGAAAAGAAGGCAGTGGGTGGATTGACGAACAGAAACCTTGAAGAATGTGGAATTATTCCTGGAACTGATTCCGCCCTATTACTGGAATACTGATCCTATTACTTTGGAATGTAAATTTTCTTATTGTTTTTTTAACTTCGTTGTGATGAATGATAAGAGGTAACCGTTACATGTGATCACGTGACCTGTCCCATGGGTACGCCGGTCTACGTGCCAACCCTCCGGACTCTACAGCTGAGTTGCTGGTTACCTGTACTGTGTGTTAACCTTCATACGTATATGGATTCAGTAGAGGGGTAGAAAGGGGAAGATAACTGTAACCGCAGATAGGCCTTAAGGTCAATTTGGCAGCCTGAATAGTCTAACTAGGGTAAACCCACTTAGGGCTGTCACAACAAGTTCTCTGCAAGGGTTCTGTTCTACCTCCGTTGAAAGTATGTCCAGACTATGTTTTCAGTTGTGCTAGTGAATTCACAACAACTCTGAATAAACAAGAACACTTCCCGGAGGTTTGAAATTTTCTTGTTGTGTTGGTGCAGACATCAGCTCAACATAGCCTCCATCAGGGGGTGCGGATCGTAGAATTCGGCAAAAAAGGGAAGAATATTTGACCAGGAGAGTCGGTCCGCGGGAAAGTTAAGCTCTCCTGGCCACCCCCACCCCCCATTTGGTTAAATTTTTACTTATTAGCCCACGTTTAGGACTAGTCTAGACTAAGTTCGACCGTTTAGACTACATCCTGCAACATTACACCACAATCTGTCCTGTTTTCCCGCGTGTGAAATATGTGCAAACTACATGTGCTCATCACATCAACTACAGGCTGGGTAACAGGCTTCTCACATATGGTTATTCTCGTGTTTAACTCTCATTATTACCTCCATGAAATGTGTCATGGAGGTTATATTTTCAGTTGCGTTTATCTGTCCGTCCTTCCGTCTGTCTGTTGGTCAACAAGATAACTCAAGAACGCCTGGATGGATTGGTTTTTATACTTGGTGTGTTGGTAGGGTGTGACGAAAACTGGAAATGATGAGATTTTGGTCCCCCTAGTGGCTTCCCTTGGTACTGCAGCGCAACTTCCAGTTTTGATATCTCGCGATCTGGACATCCTAGGGTCATGAAATTTTGATGGAAGGTAGCTCTCGTGCTTGGGAAGAAGTCATATGAGTTTGGGCCCCCTAGCGGCTTGTTCTGGAACTGCAGGGCACTTTCTGGCGAAATGTTTAAAAGCCAATAAGTCCAGACAGGAACAACATATTTTCATTATTTTTGGTGTGTAGGTAGCTGAGAGAGAGATGTACATAATTAAATGCAAATTATGCAAATGAGGACTTTATTTGCATAATTAATGAGGAAATTCTATAATTACAGTGTTTTACATTATACTATGTAACCTATGGCAGGCGGAACTTCAACAGATACTAAGTATGCAAATGATGACCTAATTTGCATAATTAATGTGAAAATTCTATGATTTCGTAATGGTAAATGATGAGAATGTCATACTTGGGACATCTGTAAGTTAATCAAAAGTTAACATACATCACGATGCATATATCATGTTAATGCAGAGGTCATTTGAACAATTAAAGAAGAAATTTACATTTACATATCAAGATCATATTTCATGGAGGTATGAGACCTCGGAATTCTAGTTAACGATAATACGTTCACCGTGTTCTCGATATAAATGTACATTTTAATTGACACAACAAAAGTACATACAAACGAATGAATACAAATGCACCTTCAAGCAAGTATATGGATAATTCAACATTTTATCGTTATTTACATTTACTAGTTCAAAGGTCTACATTCTTTAATGTATTTGCCCATGTGTACACAGCACTGGTTATCTTCTCCTGGAATCTAAGAGAATTTTAGATGTATCCAGAGGTACCTGTAATAGAGGTGGGACCTGAAGATGTTGGTAAAATAAATAGCCTTAGACTGAAAGGCAATTTATGGTTATTACCTTTCCCTGCAACTTACATCGATATCTACAACTGAACTTGAGTTCAGGACGAATGCCTGCAGCACCAGAGACAAATGGCTGTCGGAGTTCTCGACTTTCTCGACAAGCTAAAGTGACTGAGTCTGCATGATCTGGACCGCTTCGCGTGGCCGAGTGACCAGGCTAGTAGACACGACTTGGAGAAGTCACGGGTTCGATCCCTGACATCCTGGACGCTGTGGGAAACACACTTTACAAGACCTTCCTCACTCCACCCAGGTGTAAAATGGGTTCCTGACTTTGGTTGGGGTAAAGTCGGTGGAAGGAAAGGAATGGGTTCCGCCTTCCTATATCGTGCCCTGGACACCGTGGATTAACAACCTACTACCTCACAAAGCCTTATTCAGCTATACTTCCCACAAACACATCAATGAGGTCATATTCGGTGTATTCGATGATATATATATTTTATCATATCTTTTTTGCATGTTTTGGGACATTAAAGTTTCCCATTGTTCGTCTCTAGTCTTTTATGGTGTCGTGTTGATTTCTGATGTTTTCCTGTGAGGTGACGTCACATGCAGCATGCGCGGGGGAGACATAGTGTGACGTGGCAGGATGTGACGTCACATGATGTTTTTTTCTGACACTCTGGAAAGGACAACACGTGATCGATCGGCAAAACTCTTGTATGTGCTGAATAAGTTAGAAGGATTTTACTCATTTTTGGACAGAAAGGTTGGAAATCGGAACGAAAACATGACGGGAGAAGAATCAATAGAAAGCAATTTTCACATTTTGACTGCAGAAATGGACTGCAGAACACTCAATAAAAAACAGCACCCTACCTTCCTGAAAAAAACATCTAAAATTCCTAAAATCCTGTCTCCTCATAACTGTCCCTGTTAGTCCGCAAATACTTTCACCATGCTTGTAAATCAATGCATACTTAGGTACACCTTATTTTATTCGGTACCAGGTAGATGTAAAAATCAGCTTGTGCACCTAACAAACCTATGTTGAACTTCACCGTGTAAGTGTTCCCTGATACTAGAATATCAGTGCCGCGGCGGGCGCTGACGGATGGAAGTGTAGGTGGAGATGTAGGGCAGGAAGTGACGTCACACGTTTTATAACAAGATTGTCAGCTAAATCGGACTATAACCTGATGTGGAGGACAGTCTGGCCTGAAAAGTTTTAGATCTGCTGATTTCTTTTTAGTGTTGTCTCTTATGCTTACCTATTTGTTGATAAGTTTTCAACAGGTACAGGAAGCATATATCGCCGTGGAATATCATAGAATAGGATAACAATCTGGATTAGTGAAAAGTAACCCTAGATAGTCAGATGCAGAGATACGCAAGCGCGAATATTTATTACATGGAAAGAGTTATTGATACTGATGAAGGCTCGATTCTCAAAGACACGTTAGAAAAGACCACTTCGTATCTGCCATCCTTGTCAAAGTTGCCAGTCCATAAAGGTTTAGCGCCACCTGTCGGAGCAAACCGCAGGATGACGAGAACGAACATTAAGCATATGCATGACCTGGACCCTTGCACTGAGAATATCAAAGACGCCCTCTCCCGGCTCGGATACAAAGTGCCTCGAGTGGATGTCACAACAGACATCTTCGTCGAAAGACACTGAAACACCTTCTTCGAAAAATTTTATTTGGTTGGAATACAGAAAAACCAAGAATTGCAAGGTGTTATGTGTGACCAGCAAAAGAACAATAACTAGCTGAAGGCTATACTGACGACGTCGGTTTCATAATATTCAGAACCGCATTTTATCCAAGCCTTCAGAAAATGACCTTTGTATCTTGCCCACAAATATCCCCATGGAGAATCCCACCCACAGAAACAACAGCACAACCCCGGCCATGCACAGGATAGAATAATCATCAACCACCGCGGGTGTACAGATCGACATGTTCTCATCTCTCCAAACTGTGGGGACTCGGAGACTTTTCCCCGCCCCTGTGAACGGCATGTGCATTCTCTCGTCTCTAACTACCTCCACCCTGCCGGGTCGGCTGGACTTTGCCGTACTCGGGTCATAGTCCCCGTCCTCGCACACGAAGTCCTTCGGGGTGAGGGTGTCAAAGGCCCGCCCCTTGAGCTTGGGCGGTGCGTTACACACCATGATGTGGGGAGAGTCGATGGTCGGAGCGGTGTTGTTGTTGTCGATGTGTTCCTTCAGCCAGCGGAGGTGACAGTCACATGTCCACGGGTTGTCCCAGATAAACACCTCGGACAGTCGGGGCAGAGTTCTGCACAGAAAGCAAAGGAGAAATACTCCGTGAGGGTCAAAACTAAAATGGCCAGCCTTAAGCTTGGTTGTTGCTTCACAGACCCTACATCCTCCCGATTTCTGAAGTTTTTAAACACTATAGGAAATTGAAGGTAAAATCTTAGCTGTTAAACAACTAATGCCAGGTGTCAATTACCAATGCATGTTACATAGGAACAGGGAACTGATCTTATACATTGTGTCTAAAAGTGTGTGTTCGACCTGGCCAGCTGTCAACAATGTGTTATACTACAAACATATCAATTTGAGCGGAGGAATCCAGTGGACAATTTACCAATAGAGAACCAAATTTAAAAGGAGGTGACGACTTACTTTGTGTCTAGAAGTACGGGGTCTAGCGTGGTCAGCTGATTACCGTCCAGCCAGAGTGTGGTGATGTTCTTGATATCGTGGAAGGCTCCTGTCGGGATGTACGGGATCCGGCTGCTGCCCATGTACAGCTCCCACATGCCGCTCAGTCCGCTCAGCGTCGCGTTCGTCAGGCGGTCGATGCTGCAGAAATCCGCGTCCAGGATCTGCAGTTTCCCCAGACCGTCGAACGCGTCGTCCCCGATCGTCGTCAGGGTGTCCTGCTGCCAGACCTGGATCGTCTGGAGTTCCGTCAGGTTGGAGAAGACTCGGGACGGAATCTCCTTGATCTTGTTGCCGACCAGGTCCAGGTCCGTGAGAGTACCGGGAAGGTCCACAGGCACGCGGGTCAGCTGGTTAAACCTTAGGCCGAGGTATTGGAGCTTGGTCGTCTTAAACAGGCCGTCAGGCAGCTCAGTGATTTGGTTAAACCCGATACTCAGACCTGTGAGATGGTGTTGGTACTCGAAACTCCCAGGAGCGATGTTCTCGACTTGGTTGTTTTCAAAGTCCACGTACACGAGTTGGGGCAGGTGTCTGAAGCTGTCCTCGGTGACGCGTGTGACCTTGTTGTAGTCGAAGTACAGAGTGTAGAGTTGAGCAGGCAGATTTTTCGGAACGTCGGTAAAGTTTTCGTTCGCGGCCAGGTTGAGAACTCCGAGGAACGGCAGATCGTCGAACGTCCCGGGCAGAATCGCGTCGTCAGTCAGCTGGTTGGAGCTGAGGTCGATACCGACGAGTGATTTCAGCCCCGCGAAGTCGGTTCTGGAGAGCTTAGCGATGCCGTTCCCGGAGAGGAGCAGTTGCTGCACGTCTGTCGGAATCCCGGCGGGGACAGACGTCAGGTCGGCCCGGCTACAGTTCACGTACTTCTCCCCGTCGTTACTGAAGCACGCACATGGCTTGGGGCACGGCTCCCACCCTGCTGCTGCTGAGGACAACAAGCTAAAGCCTGCTACAAATAGAACTATAATTTTCAGGGCCACCATATCGGGAGAAACAGAACAGTCGGGAGGGTTAGAGAAATACTGGTTGAAGCTGCGGAGTGTCCAGACCACTGCAGTAGAACACAGTGGAAGATGATATCGGGATAGCTGTTGGGTAACTGTTTTAATGACGACGTGGCCAGAGGTCACCCTACTCCAAAGTACGACAGACGTTGTTGGCTTTTGCCCTATTTTTTTACGCCACTTGTTTGTCTGATTACTCAAGGGGAACAAAGGGAAAAGGTCATGCATCGTCATTTATTGAGTTTACTCGGTGCAAGAAGCGGCATGACAAAGACTTTGTCTAAAATACTACTGAGACTCGCATGATGAACTGTAGCTCAATCAAAAGTCTTTGCCCAGAATCATCAGATATTAGATATCACCGCTGATTACTGATTACCGATATTACTGTGCACTGCTTTTTCACACATCGCACCTTCCCGAAGCAACGGTGAACAAGTTAGGTCAAGTATTTTATAAATTACTGCATCAAATTGTTCATGTTCTTGTGGGATTCAATTATTTTAGACCCGGAAAGCGTCCCGGTAGATACCCTCATTTTCCAACCCCACAGGACAGAGATAATACCTTCAGGGTGACCTTGCTTTTTTTGGCACGGTTGTTATTGAGAGTCCGACTGGGTGCCGGAGGGAACAGACGAGTTACAGCCAGTGTTTATAATCCGTCCCTTTGTTCATGATACAGTTACATTGCTGGCGGGCAAACTTCCCGTACAACTACTGCAGCTACATAATTTATCCCAGAATAATTAGCGCCGATTACTGCCGCCGTATTGCAGGGAACGCCCCCTTTTCCCAGCCTTCACAATAACAAGTGGCAGAAGACATAAGATATCGTCAACAAAGGTTGGAGACCTTGCACAAGGTCATGTGAGCCAGCTCAATGATGAATTTCCCTTCCTTGTACCTCTGGCTACTTTCAAAGGCGTGCTTATCAGCAAACTATCTACTGTACAGCACATCTACCCTTCCTATTCTTGCCTACATTTCCCCCGGCCGGAATCGGTACATCCACTTTGTCAGACTCATGTTCCTCCTCACTTTCTGACCCAGACTCAGACCAGACGTACACCTCAGCACGGTCTAACACCGCGTACCTGGTCTCATCCTCACTGTCTGAATCAGAACCGATGCTCTCGCTGACTACCTGGTCTGTCTTTACTGTCAAAACGGCTGACAACCATTCGTTCATTACTTGCATTTCTGGCACAGAGTTGTTTATCTCGTATCCCTCTATTTTGTCCAGTTCTCTGTAGTGTTTCTTAGCTCCGAATTCCTGTGGAAATGCACTAGAGCTCTTTGTTTCGTCGGTGTTGTGGATCGTTTCTGTTTTCGTAGAATCATTCCCTGACGACTTAATGCCGCTGTGTTCCTCGCCGACCTGGATGTCCATCTGTGCAGGCTTGTCCTCATGCATCACGGTCTGTAGTCTTTTTGTCGTGACGTCAGTAGTCTCTGGTCTGGGTGTGATGTTGTCAGCATCAATGGTGTCCCCTGCATCCATATCACAGCTATTATAAGGAGTTTTCTCAGCCTCAGTTATCTCTGCTTTAGCCATGGTGTCTTCAGAGTCAGTTGTCTGTAGCCTCTCTGTGTAGTCTGTTTGTGTATTCCCCAGTTCATCAGCGACACTGTCAGTCCCTGTCTTCTCCGCCGTATCAGCTGTGTCATCCACACTGGTCTTCAGTGGCGTGGCGATGTCAGTAGTTTGCAATTCGTGTCCACCATTATCTTCAATTCTCTCCATTCTGCTCACAGTTTTGTCAGTACCAGCCGTGTCCTCACGATCGTTGTCCTTCCCTGCGTCCTCTCCGGCCACTAAGCCTGAAAGTTCTGCTGTACTACTTTCTTCGTTGGTAATGTTCTCATGACGTGATTCTGGTTTAAAGATTTCACATTTGATTGTTGTTCCGTCCACGTCCTGGTTTTGGGTTTTCATCCTATCTTTTTCGCTGAGAACAGCTGTTGCAATCGACCAGGGAACAGTCTCAACAGTGGGATCTATATCGAAAATCATCCCACTGCTGGGGTCACTTAACGTCATGTGGATGTATTTTTCGATGTCTGTCGCTGTCGTTTCCACTTCGTTAGCACCAGTCAGAGTTCTTATATTGTTGGCGTTGATGTCGTTCCGTTCGTTTACGTCCACATCATTGTCACCGGAAGTAGTCATAGACATCCGAAGTAGTTTGCCAGCTTTATTTTTAACTGATGCAGTAATGTCCGGTTCGGTCTGTCTTTTCTCGATACCCCTGACCTCTGTTGTCTCCCCTCCCGAATGTACCATAGCTGACGGCACGATGTGGGCTGGTTGTGCTACTTTGTCTAGCTCATTGTCGCTAGTTATGACTGTTGCCTCGGGGGTGGTGTCTGTACTAGGTGGCTTTGCCTCTGTCGTTACTCTTAGTGAGATGTCCACATCGATTACATTACTGGTGTCAAGTTCAGTGTCAACATTTTCTGTCTCTTCAGAGAGTACATTTTCTGTGTCAAACTTTGTTTTTGCTGAACTATCAGCTGAAAAGGGGATGATGTCTTCTTTGGTCGCTTCTGCCTTGAGTGGAGGTTTGTCCTCCGTCGCGCCAGCTGGACAAAGGCTGTCGGGCACTACTGTCTCATTCAAAGTAGCAATATCTTCTCTCGAGCAATCTAGTAACGTGTTTATAGAGGGCCCCTCGCTTTCAGTCCCTTCTGATGAACCGACAGAGTTGTGGACGTTTGTTTCGGCTGACATGGTAGTTGCGGTTTCCGCCGGTTGCTTACCCGACGTAGACCTTGTATCGACAATGTGTACTTCCTGTCCGCTTGTCTCATGCTCTGTTGTATTCGGCTCTGTTCCCGAGCTGTCGGAGTCCGAGAGTTCCAGGATTACTGACAGTCGCCGTTGAAGGGTGCTTCTCACATAAGGGCCGGCGATACCGAAACACGAAGCGATGACAACAGCCTCGTTTGGTGTGTCTGACCCTTGCCCCTGTAGAAACGGCGAGAATGCTTCCGGGCTACTCTCAGCCATGTCTTCAACAAACACGTCTTCGTCTTCGTCATCGCTGTCGTAGGACTCGTCACCCTCCCCGTAACTGTCGTCAGTGCCGTACTGCGCGTCCTCCCACTCGGCCTCCTCTACAAACACGTTCCCTTGAAACCCTGCGTCTAACCAGCGCATCAGGGACTTCTCTATTTGTCCCTGTCTAACAAGATCTTTCTGAACCTCTGTCCCTGTCCCTGCTTCTGTCCCTACCTGTTTCCCCGGCAATGGTTCTTCTGGGTCACCGCCCAAGGGAGCAAATCTACCGTCTTTTGTCATCTCCAGATGCTCAAGGTCACACATCAACCCGTTTTTATTGCCAGTGTCCTTCTCGTGATAGTCTTCCTCCATTATCTTTGTTAGAACAGGGGACACTTCCAACTCGTCTGCTATAGACCACCGTCTGTCGCCTTCACTGGGCGACCCTGATGACGACTCGGAGTGGGAGCGCCACAGGAGAGTGTACCAGTCCCCTCGCTGTGTGGGCCGCACGGGTTCGTCCTCCTCCACCTCCATAATCACCAGCGTGTCCAGCTGAACCTCGCTGATGAAATCCTCGTGTTCCTCCTCGTTCGACAGGAACCAGTCCTCCAGACTGCTGCTGTGTTCTTCGCTTGTTGTGGGCGTGCTAGTACTTCCCGCCTGAGGTGTGTCAGTCTCAGACTCTACCGCGGTAACCGCCGAACTCTCGTCTGCTGCGGCCTCCTGACCTGCGACGTCACCGGACACGTTCCCGCGTCCACGAGAGAAGAAATTGTACCACGACAGCCTGTTCTTTGCTCCAATGTCTGAAATGGCCCGTTGTGGTTTAGAATCAACATCTTCCGAACTAGCGTCCTTGTCTCCTTCACCCTGTGCTGTCACAGTCTGGTCTCCCATGTTGTTCTGTTTGCCCGTCAGTCGGCCGTTGAACCCACATGAAGTGGCAGACTAGGTCGGTAAAACCACCGACAAACCGCCGCAGGCCAGCCGACCTGGGCCTTGTAAAGCATTGTGCGGGTCACCTTGGATAACGCACACTCGATTCTGGCGCAACTGTTTGTACAAAAACTGCAGAATTTTCCCGTCACCTCGGAGCAAACATGTTGTTGTCATTCGTCCCCGCAATTCTTGGGTCATTTCCTCAAAAGGTCGGACACATGCAAATTATCCGACTCATTAACTCAGGGACGTACCATTCCAACCAGTAGGGGTGTTACATTAAACTTTTGTCTGACAGAATCTCTTAACACTATTTGTGAAAAAACCTCACACCGTTTTCCACGGTTTTAACCTGAAAACAGAATTCCTTCGTCATCAAATTCGGAGAACTTGAGCTGTCATTCCTTCGCGATTGTCGACTGGTTTTATAGGCACACACACGCACATCTTACTACCGTCGGCTGTTGAAAAACTGGTTTTGCAGTAATTAACTCACCGAGATACCTATTTATGGGACAAGCTATTGCAGCAGCTCAAAAGTACGACTCGCTTAAAACGCACGTTTAAAATGTCAGGTACTTAAGTACCTTCTCTCGCTGATCCTTTAATGATGACCTATGCTATGTTGCAGTCAAAACATGATGTAAAAATAGCATCGCTAAACAACTACATAGATTTTGGTTAGTAGTACAGGAAAATAAGACACCAACCACGGTACAATCCATTCAAGTATTTACCAAAGTACACCTTGAGTGGAGTTAGGTAGACTGCGCTAGACCAACTCAAATCGTACAGAGACACGGGATAATTGCTGTCAGTCACGTGTACAGTCGCCAAAGGCGCTGCTCTACTGATCTTTTATGGAGTGGAAAGTCTTAGTTTTAAACCTGAGACTCAGTGAATTTTGTCGCTCATGTTTTTACATGTCAGTGAAGGTCGTCCCTGATGATCTGTTCTTGCATTCCTTACATATCAACGCTTTTTTGTTTTGGGAGGCAAAACTACCTTTATGCGCTAGTAGAGGGTCGATAACCCCATTAGGGCAAAGCAGCTTGCAAAACATAGCTACATTGTGTTTAGGGCACCTGAATCTGTTTGTTAGTTTGTCTTAAGGGGCATTGTGTAACATGTTTTCAAACATTGAAATATTTTATTTCAAAAATTCAATTATTCCACTTTACATATTTGTACAATTATCTCTCATTTCTCTTAGTTACATGTACCAACAACATCAGATATTCTCTTTAAACAACGTTATCAGTTTTAATTCGTGTCTTAAAGTTCAGTCAGCAATGTTGGAAAAGCAGTTTCAGCAGGAACCCCAGTCCTACATGTACGTACAGTCGGGTGGGGAGGTGAGCTGTCCGCGGTTGCCCCCCGGTAGCTGCCGCCTGGTTGTGCAGAAGAACGTCTGAAACAACAAGACGGTACAGATCTCAGTTCTGGTGAGCATAATGATGCATCTGTTTTGACGTATTTTGGCTTCGCTCTGACGAGAGAAAGTTACTATTTAATTTTTAGTGTAATGCCGGCATGCCACAGAGTTTTAAGACCTTTTGTGATAGGCTAAATCATCGATCAAGACAAAGATCAGCAGCGTTTGACAGCTATAAACTGTATTCTAACATGAGATTTTGTTATAACATTCCTTTCAGACCATGAGAAGTTTCCGCCAGCTGTACATGTGTTCTATAACGCAATCATTCTGCAGTATCTCCGACATAAGTGTAAAAGATCTGCTACGAGTGTGATTTCAAAGACAAACATCCCCAGCTGACCTGTTTGTTCCTGCAGTTGCCAGAGGTACTCCCGCCAGAAGGCACAAGGCCTGGTCCTGGGCCACTGCGCAACTCGGACCGGCTGTGTGTCCAGTACGATGTAGGACTGGTCCGTCTGGTTGTAGGGTGGCCACGTCTCGGTCCCAGGATCATTGGGGTCCCTAGAGAAAAAATACAGATTATTTTGAAACTAACTTTTTACAAATCACATAGAAGTATACGTAGTTAACACCAAATAATTTCAAACAACTTTCCAATGGCATAAGAGTGAGCCCTTACCCTGTCTTCGCAAAGTTGGTCCAGAATCGCATCATTGTCCTGGATAGTCTGTCTTCATCTGGGGTATAATTCTGAGATGAATCTAGGGGCAAACCGAAGACCATTGCGATTTCAGAGGTGTGTTGAGCTCCAGTCCATGGCGGTGGGGGCAGAGTTGATACGACGTGGTTAAACTGGTACATGTACACCTTCCCGCCGACACGAGCACGTGCAAGGCTGGCTTCTATCACCGGGCACTTGAAGGAGTAATCCCCGACCATGTTCTCCGCGGCGTCCCGGTACACTGCCGGGTTGTCCAGGCCTCGCCAGTCCGTGTACTCAAACGCCACAGCGTCGGTTCCAAACTCATTCAGAGTCGGCAGGAGCGCTTGGATAGTTTTGATGTACTGGTTCTTGTTGATGAAACTGTCCGTTGAACGGTTGAAACCCAGCGATGTTTCCCTAGCTATGAACAAAGAACCTTCATTGGTTGTGAAACCAGCCATGACGTCAACAGTGGGAGGGGGACGTTCTTCGGCCATATCTGACGGGTGAGAGGGCAGAAAATTCCCATCAACCACCGGGGTAAAACCAAAATCCAAAAGAGCCTGTGGTTGGTTGTTCACAATGTCCTCCGCAGAACGACTTTGCAGACACGCCACCATGTCCTGGACCTCGGGCTGCCGACAGCCCAGGGCGGAGCCGAGGGCGCGGCCTCGGGCCATGGCGACGTCCCTCGGTGTAAGGGCCCAGTTGCAGAAGGCCGCTCCGCTCTGTAGAATGGCGCGCTGGTACAGACTACTGCTGGAGGGGGACAGAAGGTGGAAGTGGGCACTAGCGCCACCTGGAGCGAGAGAGAAGCGTTGACAGATTGAAAAAAAATTACGACGGAACACACAATGCGTCGAGTTTCAACGACAGCTCAATCAATTTTTGTGCTAAATATGCTTTGAAAGGCTATGTCAGTAATTGGAATTATAATGATATGTATGCGGAAAAGAAGATATCACAAAGTACCTGCACTATTGCCGAAAATGGTCACCCTGTCCGGGTTCCCCCCGAACCTCTCTATGTTGTCCTGTACCCACTGTAAGGCCAGCTGCTGGTCCAGCAGTCCCATGTTCCCTGGGGCATCGTCCGTCCCGAGGGCCAGGAACCCCAGGGCCCCCAGCCGGTAGTTCATGCTGACGACGATAACGTGTTCTGTGGCGGCCAGGAATCGCCCGACACCGCGGTCTCCCCCGGTACCTGACCCTTCGACAAACCCTCCCCCATGGATCCACACCATCACAGCGCCGTAGTGCGGCCGGGACGGGGGCTGCCACACGTTCACGTACAGGCAGTCCTCGCTACGATCCGTTGGGTTGTAGAGGCCTAGCTTCTGATAACAACTCCTGGGCATTTCCGTCGCGTTGTAGACTCCCTGCCAAGGGTCGGGCGGGACCGGCGGCTTGAAGCGCAGCTCCCCTACAGGCGGCTTGGCGTAGGGAATCCCCAGGTAGGCGTTCACCTGTGTGCCCGACACGTCCAGGACGGTTCCCCGGACGGGGCCAGCCGGCAGATCAACCAGCGGCTCCAAACTACAGACAGATAACACCGTCGCCAGAAGCGACAGTACCACACATGTCGTACCATTACCAGCCATTGCTTGTATAGCGCAGTTTGCGACCCGCCTATGACCTCACTTCAAATAGGTAGACTTTGATCGGGGTGAGAAAACATTGCTATCAGGACGGAGCAGGCTAGGCACAGTCACAGTGTGCAGTCGAGAAGCCCACACGAGACCAGCATTGCTTTAAGTGGTAAATGCAAAGCCCATTACACAGAACTGTTTATCGTTGCTTAATCGTTGTTATTTTCAAGGTTATAAACCTACGTTACAAGTCATGGTGATGTTGCACAATGTGATGTTTTCATGTGTCATGTTATTTCATTTCTAACCCTGAGTGGCCTGTATCTGATATAGCCTCTAGTGTACATACATCTCTATGGCACATGCCTATCGCCAGGGTTCTTAAAGTGCCACTCATTCATTTTTTACCTGTTTACAATTTACGGCGGAGGGAGGGCGGAGAACTGAGGAGTGCCCGTTTACCTGTTCTCCGGATAACAACAAAACACTTACTACAGGTATTAGTCTGCGGCTGTCTCAGATGTAACACGTGGATAATTTGACGTATGAATCCACCGTGTGGGGGAGGAAGGCTTTGAAGCCGAATTTTTAATCACTGAAATCAAAGTTGCTTTTGTCAAAGAAAGAGCAAAGTGGAAGCCTGGTGGCCATACCATCATGGCATCCCCGGTATCTCTACGGTGCTAGAAGTGTTGCCCGTCCGCCCAGTCCCATTACCGCATTACCCGGGTTGAACAGGGTCGGATTCTATTAGTAACTCTGGCTTGAAAGATAGGCTGTAAGAAAGAAGTTGTAAATTTCTTCATCTCATTTTCAAAAGCACCAGGGTCAGGACATACGTACGTAAACAATGTATTGCATCATATATATATACATATGATTTCAAACACAACGTACATTACAAATGATATTGTATTATCATTCCTTACCTTTAACTCTTACTAAAATAACACTGTAGACTATCCAATTGCCTTTTCTCAGAAGAAAAAGGAATATTTTGTATGCGTCACTCTGTGAGCCTTTTGTTCATCCCACCGAAAGTCTTTACAGAGGCGACATAAAAGACCAAAATTGATTAATAAACTGCATTCAAATTAATCCCTCTATAGTGTCGGAGTACCGTAGACTATTTCTGATTAATTCTCCGTACACAGTACGTAGTGTTCACAAACCGTCCCTGGTGATTCTGTCGGTCCTGCTGCCATGGCACAGGACAGAACCGAAGAGACGGCCGGTGAAAATGTCCAGGAATTCATCAATCCCATGTATGCCAGCCCCACTGGAGGCTCCTACGATACTTCTGGTCAGTACGGCAGTCAAAACTATATGGTCAGGTGGTTACTATGACAGGATTTTTAATGTTTGCGAAAATTATCTAAGGGACCATAAAAAAAGTGGCTAGGTGTAGAACTAGAATAATGAGACACTTGAAGACAGCTCATTGAAACGGTATCTCGATAAGCCGAATTTGCTGGTTACTTGGTGTTCTGAAATAAACAAAAGAGTAAAAGGCATATTGTGGCAAACAAGTTTCACATATACATGTAGTAAACTTTTTTCCATGTTCCAGGCGATCCCCGAATCCGCGGACCAAACGGGCGGCAGGATGAAACCGAAGAAGGGAAGACATCAATTGGAGATGAACATGATGTCATCAACCAGCTTAATAGTAACCCCATGTACGGTCCTGTCGGGTGTTCAGGTCAGTATTACATAGGATAGTGGACCTGAATGAATGATTGAATGATAAAAGACCCTTATTGTACATTTGTGTATGGGGGGGGAGTGGCGTGTTAGAGAAAAAGAGGTTGGAGGGAGAGATTGGGCAAAGTTATTTATAAGTTCAGCATTGTCAACTATCTCCTTTGCTACAGGTGTCGCAGATGAAGAACGTGGCTTGTGTAGCCGGGCAAGTGGTTTTCTGCCACCGCCGGTTACCGTTGTCAAGACGATTGTCGTCATGGCAATTATAATAATGACATCGACTCTGGCGCTCACTCTGTGGCACATCAACACTCCACATCCGGATGTGGATTCGGTGAGGGTTTTTTTGTGTCTCGGTTGCTCTTACAGTGAATTATGCTGTGTCAAAGCAGTCGGAAACATGCACACTATCTGACTAGTGGCTACATTATGAGAAAGATGAGAAAGTGTGATGGTCAACAATTCTTACAATTCATTAAATTATCACAATGCTCTCAAACTTTGTACTGACTCGACGGATATTTTGCATCTCAACGCCAGGTTGTGAAATTGGTCTTGAAAGAGATCCACAACCGATCTGCACTCTTCTGCCGCACAATGACTGAAGAAGCTTTTCAAGATCGCACCAGCCCTCAACTCTCGACCATTGAGAGCCGCGCAGCCCGGGTCAGCCGTCTGCAGAACCGAGTGTCCACCCTTCTTCAGGAGCAGCTGGACCAGGAGCGAACCCTCCGCACTCAGCTGGCGAACCTGACAACTGCCCTGTGCAAGGCAGCGCCGGACCGAGGTGTGTACAGTTGAGTTACAGAACGTGTGGGGGGGGGGGGATTTCTTGACCACAAATCACAAAAAGGTCATACACAGGTAGCTCGCAATATAACTTCCCCTGCAAAGTACTGAAAAAGTACTATGATGGAAAATACACATTCCAGTAAAAAGCGTTCATAGAGTACATGGTGAAACTCCGGTGTCGATGTTTTCGTTTGATTACGTGCTGTTTAGTAACAATTGGCGTTTTTTTGCAGGAAAGCTGTTCCACGTGACGTCACCAAAGGGCAGGTACAGGTACAGCTTGGATGAAGCTCGCCAGGCATGCGCAGAGAAGAAAGCCGTCCTGGCGACCTATGACCAGCTGCACGAGGCCTGGCAGGGCGGGCTGCAACGGTGTGACTGCGGCTGGCTGGCGGACGGGAAGGCTTACTACCCGATGCAGGAGCGCAAGTTAGTATTTAAAAATCACGAGATGGCCTAAAGATGGTTAAGGAGCAGAATACAGAGGGCCGTTATGCAGAGAAAAGTAACAATTTGTTTATTGTATTTTACATGAACAATACATAATGAAAAAGGAATAGCATGCAGCAACTGATAAAAACATAAACCACGTATCCAAAATACGTAAGTAGAAGCAAAATCTATAGCAAGGCATGAAGATAAGTAATCTCTATCTAATGAGAAAAACGAAAGAAATCAAATGTCAAAACAATGTGACACGAAAACGTACTTCTATTGGCTAACAAGAACTGACGTTCTCTGTTTTGTTTTGTTTTGTTCTGTTTGTTTCAGCCGACATTGTGGTAACCTGAGAGGCGTCGTCAGGTGTGCCCTGCAGCCCACACGGAACGCCTGGTGTTTCCGCTCCTTCTGCACAGCCAATGACTGACCAGGTCAAAGGGCAGATTGAGCAGGAGTACAACATGTAGCTGGGTGCTGTTTTGAGTGAGCTTGTTTAGGGGGAGTCATCATTCACGATGTAGGGTAGTAAACCGTTATGTGTTCCCGAGAATCTTGTAACAATGTAGGAAATCGAGATTTGTAGAAGTGGTTTCCGGTAGGGTTTTACTACATGTGTTCAGTTGGCTATATTACTGACGTATTCCAAACTGCTCTAGTGTACCAGCATCTGTCAGACACATGCCTAACGATATCACAGGGTCTTGTTTTAACGGGTGGATTATTTATGGCCGGGCGTTTGTTATACCTGAGGCAAATTTAAACATCTGTTTACGTATTCTTAGGACAACAACAAAACACTTACTACAGGTATTAGTCTGTGGCTATCTTAGATCTATAGATGTAACACGTGGGTAATTTGAAGTATGAATCCACCGTGTGTGGGAGGAAGGCTTTGAAGCCGTATTTTTAATCTTAGAAACGAAAGTTGTTTTTGTCAAAGAAAAAACAGGTGGTAGCCATTCCATCATAGTATCCCCGGTATCTCTACGGTGCTAGGAGTGTTGCCCGTCCGCCCAGTCCCAGTAGCGCACGCTCCGGGTTTAACGGGATCGGATTCAATGAAAAAGGCTGCCAAGGGAAAAATATATATTATATAGGGTGATTATTGGGTCGGTAAAACACACTTAATAAACCGGACAGGGGAGAATGGTTACCATGCAGAAGTCAAAAGAATCAACTCCTTAATTATAATTTGAAACATAATTATTACATACAAAATTAACGTTAATTTTCTCCATTTTTAAGCACCAGGGTTATTTCATGTACATGTGTAAACAAAATATCTATCTAGTTCATCACGTCCATAACTGTCCAATGGAAAAGTGATCTGAATTCATTCGAAAAGTTTGTAGTTTTTTCTTGGATACCACACAAATGGGTTAGATTTTTCTACCCACTACATTTCTACTTACCACGTTACGTATTATTACGTTATAAGTTATTGCACATGGTCTAAAGTAAATCGATATGTAAAGTATACAGCACCACCTCTAAATAGTATGTAATCTTCGTTAATTCCCTTTCCACTGAAAGATGGGATTTTTTTCAATAGCCAGAAGACTGATGCACGTACGTAACGGCGTGTGTTTTGTTGTACTATCTTGTTCAATGTTGGACACAATAAACATTTGCATTTGAAATTAGAGTTCAACGACCTCACACCTTCGCCAAATGATGTTAACAGTGACGAATGTTGACGGATTATTAATGTTTATCATTGATTATGAACACAAGGTCCTCGTTTATCAGTTGATCATACCTTATGACAGTCTCATCCTATGAAAGAGGGCTATTCTAGAATTTCCAAAATATTATGCAAATGAGCTGATTTTGATAAGTTATGTTTAGTGATGTTCGCCTTCACCTAAGTTCCAAATGCCACAAGTATGAAATTCCATGCAGTTAGCAATATGGAATTATTGCCTTTTCTCATTTATTTGACAAATGCTCCTGCAGTTTCACGTCACTTCTTCCCTTGCCCAAGAGCTACTTAATCTCCAAGTAGATCATACGGTGGCAAGGCAGTATCCATTGTCCATAGGAGTGTCCATTAGTAGTAGTCCATTACCCATTTGGCTAATGGACACTCCTCTAGCCAATGGATACTGCCTTGTCACCATATGATCTGCTTGCAGATTGAGAGCTACCTACCATCCAAAATTCGTGACTGATCAAGCATGCCCAGATCACGAGATCACAAATCGGAACTTCAGCTGCAGTACCATAACGAGTAGCTAGGGGATCCAAAATCTAATCTTTCGTTCAACTACACCAAAACTTTTTCACGCCTTTTTGAATGACTCAGATTTTTGTATGCGTTCCTACATGTACCTCCTGCCTTTCCATGATATCGATCTGCACCATGTCCTGTCCGGACGTCCCTGCAAACCCGAGCAGCTGGGAGGTGAACTGCAGCCACACGTTCAAGTACAGGCAGTCCTCCTTGCGGTTTTTGTCATGTGGAAGGCAGGCCCACATGTTTCATTAGTCATAAAGTCTAACGCCTACGTCATCCGTTTTCTGTGCTCTCTGATGACCGCCTCATCATTGTGTGTGTTCGCTGTGGACGACTGTCTCATCATTTCAGCCTTCATGTGTAATATATGTGAGACGTGTATCATGCTAGTTTTATATTGTCTCGCCGATATTGTGGTTCTTGCATCTTATCCAATAGAGCCACAGCTATAGTGTGAACTAAAATATGCCATGGAAGATGAAGGTGAGAGGTAAAGAAACAGGTAAAGAGATCGCCATCTTTTTAATAATGACATCAATAGAAATCTGTACACTCTTCGTTGAGAAATATTTCAAATGAGTTTAATAAGCAACTCTCCGTTGGGAAATATTTCAAATAAGTTTGATAAACAATGTATACAGGGCACGCATTTAGTACACTTAGAGTTGGAATGCCTGCACACATATGCACAAGTGGCCAACTTTGGCTTCGATCGAGCTGAGACGTATTTCTAAATCATCAGTCACACAAGTTATCAGACATTCAAATGAACCGACTTTCTCTAAGGCTGACGTCTCATCTGACGTCTGTTACGACGGTTGATTTTTCTTCCGGGTCGCTTGATCCACTTCCGGTTCGGATGGCAGCAGTTGGGATGACGGGGAAGGCGATGGTCGGTGATGACGTCGGTGATGACGTTGGTGAGACGTCAGTGATGACGTCGGTGATGACGTCGGTGATGATGACGTCGTCGGTAGCAGGACGAATCTACGCAAACAGAAGAAGACCGGTGACACTGCTGAGGAGCAGGAGGATGGCGGGAAGGGTGGTGGTGGCGCTGCTAGCATCTGTGGCGGGGAAACAACACGGAGAAAAACAATTGACAGAAATTTGAACTAAGAACGTAAGCCAACAATCCTGACCACAACACAACCTTGCTACCATGGAGGGTAGTCTTTCCCTAACCTCCCTGCTTTACTGCTACTTACTGCTACTAAGTCATTAAACGTTACCTTATGTTGTAGATCAGGGTACTTTGAAATGTTTATTTTATAATCCAAAAGAGAAACCAGCTTACCTGTTTGTTCCTGCAGTTGCCAGAGGTACTCCCGCCAGAAGGCACAAGGCCTGGTCCTGGGCCACTGCGCAACTCGGACCGGCTGTGTGTCCAGCACGATGTAAGACTGGTCCGTCTGGTTGTAGGGTGGCCACGTCTCGGTCCCAGGATCATTGGGGTCCCTAGAGAAGAAATCGAGTTCTTTTGGACCAGAATGTTTGTACATTTTGACCCTGTGTTTCATCTATTGTGTATAATCTAACGATCTTATTTTCTCCCAGACCTTAACCAGAGTTAACCTTAACAATAGTCTATGAGCTCCTGGCCCTATGCCTAAATATGGTCACACTCCAATCATGGTAACACACACTGCTATAGTACATTACCTATAACACAGCCAAATAGTCCAAATAAAACCATTCTAAAAGCCTTTACCGAGAAAATGAAAAGAAAAAAAGCCTAGGGGTATTTGGCCACTGTACCCTAATGCCAAATTATATGTTAATGAAGAAATTGATTCCATTTAACGAAATGGCAGGAGGAGACGGAGAAGAAGAAACACGAGGGAACACAATAAGAAGCCATAATAAAAAAAATACCCTGTCTTCGCAAAGTTGGTCCAGAATCGCATCATTTTCCTCGACTGTCTATCTTCATCCTGGGTAAAATTCTCAGACGGATTCAGGGGCAAACCGAAGACCAAGGAGGAGGCGGAACTGTGCATTGCTCCAGTCCACGACGACGGTGGCAGATTTGATACGACGTGGTTAAACTGGTACATGTACACCTTCCCGCCGACACGAGCACGTGCAAGGCTGGCTTCTATCACCGGGCACTTGAAGGAGTAATCCCCGACCATGTTCTCCGCGGCGTCCCGGTACACTGCCGGGTTGTCCAGGCCTCGCCAGTCCGTGTACTCAAACGCCACGGCGTCGATTCCAAACTCATTCAGAGTCGGCAGGAGCGCTTGGATAGTTTTGATGTACTGGTTCTTGTTGATGAAACTGTCCGTTGAACGGTTGAAACCCAGCGATGTTTCCCTAGCTGTGAACAAAGAACCTTCATTGGTTGTGAAACCAGCCATGACGTCAACAGTGGGAGGGGGGCGTTCTTCGGCCATATCTGACGGGTGAGAGGGCAGAAAATTCGCATCAACCACCGGGGTAAAACCAAAATCCAAAAGAGCCTGTGGTTGGTTGTTCACAATGTCCTCCGCAGAACGACTTTGCAGACAGGCCACCATGTCCTGGACCTCGGGCTGCCGACAGCCCAGGGCGGAGCCGAGGGCGCGCCCTCGGGCCATGGCGGCGTCCCTCGGTGTAAGGGCCCAGTTGCAGAAGGCCGCTCCGCTCTGTAGAATGGCGCGCTGGTACAGACCACTGCTGGAGGGGGATAGGAGGTGGAAGTGGACACTGGCTGCTCCTGGACAGATAAGACGATGCATTATGGGAATGAAGACAACCGAACGGTGCACAGACCAATGACGTAACAGCTTTGGTCTTGATGCTAAAAAGACCCTAAAAGATATGCATCTCATGTGAATTTATAATTTATAATGCCAAGAGAAATCAAACCTGCACTTCTTCCGAAAATGGTCACCCTGTCCGGGTTCCCCCCGAACCTCTCTATGTTGTCCTGTACCCACTGTAAGGCCAGCTGCTGGTCCAGCAGTCCCATGTTCCCTGGGGCATCGTCCGTCCCGAGGGCCAGGAACCCCAGGGCCCCCAGCCGGTAATTCATGCTGACGACCAGAAGGTGTTCCGTGGCAGCCAGAAATTGTCCCGCCAAACCCCATTTGGTGGCAGAACCAGTTATGAACCCTCCCCCATGGATCCACACCATAACAGCGCCATCGTGCGGCTGAGAGGGAGACTGCCACACGTTCAGGTATAAGCAGTCCTCACTGCGGTTGTCCTCCTGTGGAATGTAAGTCTGTCAATGTATTTAAAGTCTAACGAATGAGCTAACCGCCCCGACCCCCGTCTGTCAACAGCACCTCTTCCCTTGATATATTACGCATAGCTCTGTCAACAACAAACAGTTGGGAGGATATGTCTTCACGTGCTCCGTTTAATAGTTGTGCGACTATCTTATTTCGTAAATCACATGGCATACCTCATCATCTTGAAGTTCCTGGTAACAATCCCTCGCCAGCACCGTCGCGTTGTAGACTCCTTGCCAAGGGTCGGGCGGGACCGGCGGTTTGAAGCGCAGCTCCCCTACAGGCGGCTTGGCGTAGGGAATCCCCAGGTAGGCGTTCACCTGTGTGCCCGACACGTCCAGGACGGTTCCCCGGACGGGGCCAGCCGTCAGAGTAACCGGTGGTGACAAACTAGAGACTTGAAATACTGCCACTAGAAGCGACAGTACCACAGATGTTGCTCTTGCCGCCATTGCTGATGCTATTCATAGCTTGTCCTTCAACTTACATACTACATCTGGACTTTGTTCGGTATTTGAATAAGAAACGTCATTGACTGACTGACCCTGGCTGACTGCCTATAGAAAATGTCAACAAAGTTATGCTGGTCTGGAGCAAACTACTTGTCAGTGACATGTTCATAGATACGCCTTATTGCAAGGACTGACGTTTCATTTGAGCTGTCTGCACAGTTAAATTGTTTCTTTTTACTCACCTCAAATATTACACATTTGCATACGTACTTTAACTTGTACCTTGGCGAATGTACCTGGATCGACCGTATTGTATATTGCCTCATGGCTTGTATTTTAACCGCTCAAACGGAAGGGCGACAATAACACCATTTAGTTTTCATCTGACAACAATGTGACGGAACCCAATGTGCGAGGCCGTGAAACTTTGTCGAATGCATATGCTTCATGTTTCATGCTTCACGACTTTCCTCACTCCATCCAGGTGTGAATGGGTACCTAACTTCGGTTGGGGAAAGTCGTATTGAGGTCACCTTGTGGCGCTGAATGGCAGCCGCACAAATCCTTGCGACAGCTCCACAAAAGTGTGTGGAGCAAATATGTTATATGTATCATGTGTATTATGTGATTTTTGTGATTATTGATTGATTTGTATCTGATTGTAAACCCATTGTAAACCCTGCATCAATTCAGGCTGCGATAAAAGGCTGCGATTGCACGGGTAATGTTTGACCAATAAACCATTTATTATATTTAATAATGACATCGGTAAGAATGTGTACACTCTTCGTCGGGAAATATTTCAATTAAATTTAATAAGCAACTCTTCGTTGTAAAATATTTCAATTAGATTTGACAGGAAATGTATACAGGGCACGCATTTAGTACGCTTAGAATTGGAAATCCTGCACATGTACACAAGTAGACACAAAAATCTCGACAAGTTAAATTGTCAACTCTGCTTTGAGCTCAGACGTATTTCTAAATCATCAGTCACAGAAGTTATCAAACAGACATTGAAATAAAACGACTTTCTCTAAGGCTGACGTCTCATCTGACGTCTGTTTCGACGGTTGATTTTTCTTCCGGTTCGCTTGATCCACTTCCGGTTCGGATGGCAGCGGTTGGGATGACGGGGAAGGCGATGACGTCGGCGATGACGTCGGTGATGACGTCGGTGATGACGTCGTCGGTAGCAGGACGGATCTACGCAAACAGAAGAAGACCGGTGACACTGCTGAGGAGCAGGAGGATGGCGGGAAGGGTGGTGGTGGCGCTGCTAGCATCTGTGGCGGGGAAACAACACGGGAAACGGCGTGAAAAGATTCAAGTTTCGTCCACAACGAGAAAGAGGCAGGAAACTACAGGAAGAAACATAGTGGTCGGCGTGAGAAGTGACAACATTGTCTCTGTACTGATCAGAGATTACGATAAACATTTAAAGAGATGACAAGTAGAGAAAATCATGGCGTTGCAATTAACCTGTCGCCATTATATACCTATTTGTTCTACCTTCTATGGCAGCTAGAGAACACAGTATATATCTATAAGCTGTGTTGTCAGGTATGAGTCGCACCTGGTCTCCAGTTCACGTCCCAGCCCGGCACGTCTCCATTCTCCCTGTTCTTCTCTTGCAGCCAGACGTACAGCGGCTGGAAGTACGCCTTCCAGGAATTCGCCAGCATCTTCCGCTGTCCCGTCATCGCCTCCATGGCTTCAGGCCACGGCCTGGACCGGCCCAGCCGCAACATGTTCCTGGAATTAACAACAAACAAAACAACACCGTTATCTGCTGCATAATTTTACTGGGCCAAGGAAGGGGAAGATTGCAGGAGCTCCAACCCTGCATAGTTTTCAGGCTAGTACCTATTATGGTACGTCGCTTAATAATTTCGGTTATTCCAATAAATCACCAAGTCGGATGCCCGATTTCTTGTTGTGAAAGAAATGGTGTGTAAGAAAAGTAATGTACTCACGCCAGCTTGGTCCCCGCGGCATGTGAGTTGTAGATGTCGCACTTGTAGAGCGGCTCGGTGATGCCAGCCTCGTCACACATCGCCTTCTGGAACTGGAACTCAATAATGGTCCGGGCGTAGTACCTGTGGATAACACACTCTCACTTCAGATCCGTACAGGGCTGGATAAAGTTGTAACGTGAAGACGACTATTTAAACGTGGATAAATGAGATAATAGCTTCGGTATATAACCTGGATGCCAGACTTTTTTTAGCTTCGCACGCTCTCTCAGTCTCTACCTTCTGTTGGAGCACGAAAGACCGTCAATGTTTACTGCACTAAGACGGGGGGGGGGCGATACTAAACGATTACCTACTACTTACAGCACACCTGAGAAGTGTGCGGATCTGTTATATATTAAAGATGTCTTTTGGAAGTTCAGCGAGTATATTCTACCTGTGTCCTGGATGGGGACGGCGCCGACTTCTTACCTACTATTACAGCAAACATACGAAATGCGTGCATGTGCCTGCTTTTTTGGAGAAGTTTGTTAATGTGTTAACAGGCTTTATTTAGTACTTTATCCTAGTCTCACCTGATCATGTCAAAGTCGTTGGCCACGTGGTAGATGGAGGTGATGTCCAGCTGGTCCTCCCCCCTCTCTACCGGCGGCACCACGCCCACTATCTCAGCCCTGCGGGAACCATGGTCAGTCAGGATCACACTACATTTAACTTTCAGACACACACACACAGTCACGCACACACACAAACACTGACATACACACCACATTTATCTACGTACTTCATCTCCCAGTATTTCTTGTTCCACTCGTTCTTGGGGATCTCGCCGCTGAAGACCCGCCAGCGCCACAGGTCCTGCACCAGGCTGAACGGCAGCGTCGCGATCATGTTCAGGCCCTGCAGCAGCAGGAAGTTGATGTCCGCATCTGGAACAGCAAAAGTAAGGTAGTCTGATCTTGAATACGTTCGATGATGCTATTGTAAATTCCTTTGCAATTGAGGGTGCAAATGTTACAGGCATCAACTTCCAGCATACGTCTAAAGCAAAGTAGTCCATCATCGGATTTAACAACGGTGTAAACAAGCACCGTGGCGAGAAGTCGTACTTAACAAGGAGCGACAAAGGGCTCCTGGTTACAGAAACATACGTTGAGATAGCTAGAATTTCCGTAGTTCAGGGAAATTCGGGTACAGTTTCGGAAATGTTTAAGATCGATTATTTTATTTCTGTACCTCAGAAATCAGAGAGCCAAAGGCTATCTCAAAAGAAATTCCCTATAAAACGGCGACGCCGAAAGCACATTCATGAAAACCCTCAGTATTTCCTAACTCGTGTAAAACTCCATTGCGTACCCGGATCGTCCGGCACGGTGTCCAGCAGCCCGATGGCGTGCAGGTGCTGCGGAGTAGCCGCGGACAAAGCCAACACCTCCCCAACAGCCTCGTGGAACGCGTCGTTCGCGCCGTCCCGAAAAACTAGCGGCAGGTGGGCGTACTGCATCTGGTACTGCGTGTGTCCCATCTCGTGGTGGATGGTGAGAAGGTCCTCCATGTCCACCTTCGTGCACATACGGATCCTGGAGAGGAGGGAAAATTGCATTTTTTCACATCAGCAATTATCCGTTACGTTATAAGATAACAAGATGCGGCGGACGTGTGCTTGTACGCCGCTAAAACTATCACGAAGCCACGTCCGTTATTTGTTCATTCAGTTGAGAAGATTGTTCGTCCGGGGAAATAAATAAAAACGATAGTATTAGGAAGTGGTATATGATAAGCAGAGTACTACCTAAGATGTTGATGGCGTGCAATTTGCAAACCGCCTTTCCGTCCCAAGACCGCTAAATTCGGAGAACACATGCACCATTATCCCCAAGATGCTCTCAGTTTTCCCGATTGAACGTCGTGCGTGCCCGGGCCCTTACTGAGGGTAGGTAAAAGGTCTACCTGAAGTCTTCTCCATCGTAGAAGTCCCAGGCGGTGGCGTGACAGGCGACCTCTCTGTCGGTGGGCCTCTGTAGCATGGACCGCTCAAAGAACCGGCTGGGCAGCGGCAGGAGGCCGAGAGACCCGAAAAACTCCTCCGACACTTCGTACATCCTCATGATGGTGTAGTTCTACACAAACGTGATAGAGGGCGTTGGCACTCCCAAGCATTGACAGAGAATCAATAGAAATTGTTTCAGTCCACATACATTGTATTATATGATAAACAGTACTGTTTTGCTGTGTTGCGGGTCGGGAAAATTTTTCTTTCAGTTTGGCAGTTTTCTTTTCAGCTATTAAAGCAGTAAACGTTAGACCTGACCTGTTCCAACATGGCGGGTGTGACGTCAAGACTCTCCTTGTCCGGGAAGGGGACCGTCAGACTGTACAGGTTTGTCCAGAAGCGCCCCCACATGTCACCTACAGAATTACGGCAGAAAACGTTGGTATAAACATAATGGCCCCATTTTGTATCATCAATATGTGGACAAAAACACAAAATGTCAGTGAAAATACTAGTATACCATTTTTTCAGACCAATTCACCAGGATTTCATTGCATGAATCCTACATTTTCATGCGAGGCCGATGGAGCGCCAAAATAACACGTTTAATATGTTCAGGATGTTTATTAAAGGTTGTAGTACATCTAGCTATAGTTCGATCTGTTACCTGACATTTTACATATGTTACATGACGTACGCTTACGGCATATTCCCATTTAGCATATTCTGTTGTAGTCTTTTTACGAGGGTCTCAGAAAGACTCGTCATCCTAACATAAAGCGGCCCTCATATGATCAGTCCTACCCAGCAGGTGTTCCGGAAGTGGTCCTCTCAGGTTGATCTTGTCGCCGTACACGTCATACAACTTCCGGCGTACGTAGGCGTGCAGCTGCAGGTAGAACGGCTTGACTTCCTCCCAGATATCCAACATGTCCTGTTCGAACGTGTCCGTCTCATACTTCCACCGCCACTGGTCACCGTAATCAGTGTACCCTACAGAGACACACCATGTATTATTCAATATTTAGAAAATGCTGAACAAAGTTAGAATTTTCCATCACAAGCGATGCGCACTCTACCGAGACGGGGGACGATACAGTCTTCCTTCTTACGATATTCTTACGGTTCCAGGTGTCAGGAGGGAGTAAATCAGTAATTCAGAAATAACGTCGAGGGATCGATTTAAAATCGGTAATAAAATCTGCTGACGTGACGTGACGTGACGTGATTTGAGACGCGTCAGGTGACGCACCGTTTGCTCGGGCGATCTGGTTCTTAAGGTCGACGTAGGTGACGTAATGCGGTCTGATGGCCTTACTGACGGCGTCACGCCAGCCGACCCACACCCACAACCGCTCCTCGTAGTCACGTGATGTCGCCATGATCTCCGTCAAACCTGTCACGACAGGAATAGATTGATATGACATATATGATTGGTTTTATTGCGGTCGGGCGTATCGATGATAACATACATTCATATAGTAGAAAGTTTGGTTTCATTATAGACCTATAAACAAATTTTGACTTTTCCCTCACAGGAAATCTACACCATATAGATTAAACTGTCACCTGACTGGGACGGGGGACACTACAGTCTTCCTGGCACGTAAGGCCTTGCTGTATACGTACAAAATATACATCCTGCGTGTTTAGCCTTTTGCCATCCTGCCTAACGTTGGCATTTCTAATACGGCTTTATTTTTAATTATCATCACTTTGTAATACAAACTTCCCCGGGAGAGAACAGTTTCAGCAGAACGCAAACCCACCCGGCTCCAGCTCTCGGCAGTTGTCCGGATCGTCCTGGTCGCACACCTGGCCGACGGCGTAGATCCGCCCCATCTCGGACAGCGTCTCCTGCAGCTGTACGGGTACAGGGGAACCGTTTTATGTCAGCGCTGTAATCGTTATCTACGTATACGGTGGCCCACAAGTACGCACCTGCGTCGTCTGCGCGAACACCTTGATGGGAAGTAATCGTCTCTCCCCGACAAAAACCCCGGCGGCAATTTCGGCCCTTGCCCTTGGCGGCAAAACTCGCGTCGCTCCCCGAATAAATTAACGCCGCCGCATCAGAAGTCTGCAAAGAAGGCTAACTCAATCTTGTATGGTGCACATTTGCATAATTAGTATCTGTTGATGTTCTGCCTGCCATAGGTTGCATACATTACATGTATGAAAGTAGTATAATGTAAAACACTGTAATCATAGAATTTCCTCATTAATTATGCAAATAAAGTCCTCATTTGCATAATTTGCATTTAATCATGTACATCTCTCTCTCAGCTACCTACACACCAAAAATTATGAAAATACGTTGTTCCTATCTGGACTTATTGGCTTTTAAACATTTCGCCAGAAAGTGCCCTGCAGTTCCAGAACAAGCTGCTAGGGGGACCAAACTCACACCACTAATTCCTGACAGGAAAAGCTATCTGTCACCAAATAAAAACATCAAGACCATAGCATGTTCAGGACAAAAGATACGAAAACCGGAAGTTCTGCTGCAGTACCAAGGTCATCCACCAGGAGGCCCATATTTGACCTTGACCTTCGTCTTCCTAAGACTTACCGACATACCAAATATCATCATAATCCATAAAGGCGTTCTGAAGTTATGCTGACCACAAAGTTGCGGAAACACACACAGACAGACACACACACAGACATACATACATACATACATACAGACAGACACGCCAAAAACAATACCTCCATTTTTCATGGAGGTAATAAGATAGCAGACGACAAAGAGAAGAAGAAGAAGGGAAGGGGGACAGAGGAGCTTCGATGAGAAATGAAAGAGGGGAGAAAAATTAGCTGAAGCTAAGCAAATGAAAAGACTAGAGAGATAGAAAAAGAAACTGACCCGTCGTGCCGTGTCCCCTTCTTGAGGCGCGCTCCCCAGAAAGTCGAACTCTCTGATGACGTCATCAGGGAAGCCTGTGGTGTTGAAGCTGGTCTTGTTGACGTAAGCCTCGGCCTCGAACTCCGTCAGCGCCAGACTTTTCTCCAGCTGCGGCAGGGAAAACGAGGAAGACCGTTAATGAATACAATCATCTTAAGCATCCAGGAGATATAATGGCATCTAGATATTTGTCATTATATTTATATATCTAGATGTCTTAAGACTTAGAAGATAACACATTTCATAATCTGAAGACACATACTATCTAAATCCGTCAAAACTGTGACGTACTCCACACCTATTGCTTTCGATGTGCCGTACTCCTGTTTCAAAACAAGTCTGTGGAAACTCATTACAATATTGAAATCGACTGTTTCTAAGTCCACCTTGTTGTTGTCGCTGTTCACTGCATCAGCTAGCATTCACACTTACAATAATCTACTTGTGTACAACTGTGTCAATCGCAAATGTACTTGTGTAGCAACCGTCTTGTAACTTCGGTGTAAACATACACTGTAGGCCAAAGGTCAATTGAACAGGGTCATGTCAGGTCACGAAGAACAATGCCTGACATCAGGTGACCAATCATCAGAAGCCAGTTTAACACAACCTGTAACGGGTACAGCGGAGTAATAGGTGACGTATTGTTGTGTGTCCACGCCTGTGTGTAAATATGGTTGCTTCAATACATAAAAAAATTCAACTTCGGGAGTAAAATTAAGCATATGCGCCAAATAGGAATAGAGGAGTAAAAACAAGCCAACTTCAAAAAGGTTTTTTCAACATTACCCATTTGTAACATCTCAATGGACATGCATGCAGAATGTATTCAATATAAACGAGATTGAGCCTATTTTCTCTGATATGTGGGACGACAGAGTGCATCTTAAAGCCTCTTCTAATACTAAAAAAAGTGAAAACTGCTCTGGTTGACTTTGATAGAACTGATGCGTGTCTTCGTGATAAACGAACCATTACCTTAACTTGGCCCGACATCACGACAGTACTCAGTCAACACTTCTGTTTGCTAAACCCTGAGTACACAAGCTGCAATTGCGACAAATGTTGCGAAGAGAGATTTCTCCCAGATGCGAGGTGAAGCTAGTCCTGTGGCAACATGGTTCATGTACCAAGTTGTGGCAGTAATGCCAGATGTAAAGTTCATAGTTTAATAGTGCCTCAGTATGTGAACAAACGTTTTGGACATGGTTTAATGAAGAAGTACAAAATGTAATCGTACGTGACATCACGTGGCTTCCCTTGTCAGTCTAGACGTCTTCATTATCACTCCT